GCGAAAAGATAGCACTTCCCCGAAGCCATGAGGGAGGGTGACTCATGGGCAGGGGCGGGGCACGGGGAGCTTTGGGGTTTATGGAAACGTTCTGCGTTATTATTGTGATGGTGGTAACGTGAGAACATACATTTGTCAAAACCCAAAACACTGCACATTTAAAATGGGTGTGGTTTATTATATGGAAATTGTACCTCAGTAAAGCTGATTTTAAAAAAGTCTTTCCTCTTGCCAGGAACATTTTCAGCTGTTTCCCCTGCAAACATATCGTCTTATCACGGCACACTTTTCCTGCATTTTCCGTCCTGATTTTATCATTGGCTCACTTATCTTAAGACTAGGTCGTAAATTTGCAGTTCTCTTCTATTTGCTCAAAGTAGGATGCGAATGAGGGATTCTGGCACAAAAGAGGAAGAGATCTGGAGTACTCTGGGTTCAAATCCCGGCTCTACCCGTGATTCGCTATGCCATCTTGAGTATTGAAACGCTCAACCTTGGTTTCCTCATCCGTGAAATGGAAATTGTAATAACACTCCAGTCTTCGGGATGTGAGGGGTGTCAACTTTGTGTCACAGAGTGGGCATTCAGTAAATGTTAATCGGTTTCCTTAAACCCTTCCTCATTCGTGCCACAGGCTAGCCGGAGGGACTGAAGTGGGAGTCGGTGGACTTGGTTCAGCACGCACTGCCCAGCGGTGACTGAAGCGGCTCAGAAGCACGCGACAGCAGCGTCACTCAAGCGAAGTCTGCGAACCAGTGCCCACCCGTCCCCTGCCGCCACTGCCAGCAAGGTAAGCACAGAGATCGAGGTATTTAAAAATGTTTATAGAAATTGGAGATGACCGTGTATGAGCTAGATCAGAAAATGCGCTTTCGGCTTAAATCTTGTCCAGGAGAAGGTTCTCAGAGCAGCCTGGGCCAGAACGTAAACCAACACACTGCTTCCTTCATTGAGAAAATCTTACTATGAAAAAAAAAGTCAGCTGAACTAGACAAAGTGCTTCACAAAAACAGATAACTTGTTCTGTTTATATTTATTGAAATGTAGTTATAAAATTTTACACGCATTTATCTGTTTATAACATTTATCTGCTTATATCTGTTAAACTAATTATTTTTACAATGAGCTCGTGTTTTCTATGTTTTTTTGTTCACTCTTTTCTATAGAGTCATTTTCATGAATTTTACAAAATTACTCGTATTATGGTTTGGGAACTAAACTGGTCCTTCCCCACAGATAGTTTGAAACCTTTTTTAGAGCATCTATACCTCTTAGAATAAAGGTGATGCCTCCACCCTACACTTTCCTTCAGCTTCAGTTTTCGGAGTTACCTTTGATTCAAAACATCTGTTTTTGTTTCCCTAGGATAAGGGCGGGGAAGCAACTTGGAGGAATTCTGCAAGTCAGTGGTTGTAGCAAACTAAGGGTCACGCGCCAGCAAGGTTGCTCACTTTTAAGACTCTGCTGCCACCCTGTGGCCATTCGGCTTATGACCCCCAAGCTAGAAAACGCACTCTGCTTTTTGTTATTTCCCCATTCCCCTCAACCGGAACACTTATCTTCTTATCCCACTTTTCCCACCTAATTCCTTAGTGAGCTCCACGAAACCTACTGAATTCTCTGCCCTTTTTTATTTCTTGGTAGCTCATTTTCAACAGTTCTGTTAAAGTAATTTGTTACTGCTACGTGAATGTGGGCATTTTTACTCAATGTCAACCAAACTGCTACAAGAGCAATGAATTATACAATTAACTGGCCTTAGTCCATTCAAATAAAACTAAAAACTTTTAGCAATGAAATATAAACTATTTTACTTCTTGCCACCCACAGAGAAGGTCACCTTATATGCAACACGCAAGCCATCCCGGATAGATACCACACTGGCCGTCGGAACAAAGATTAGAAACAATTTTTGGTGCACTGAACTGAGGGAAGGCGCTTTACAAATACACAGGTGTACTCTGTGGAGCTCCTTCATTATAACTGCACATTATTAGTTTTGCACGAGTGATGCATATCGCAACTCGCCAACATGAAGACGAAGCGTGACAGGCTAACGAAGGAAGAGAGAGGGAGGAGCTACACGCTTCCTCAAAGCTCCTCCCTTCCTGGGAACGTCAACTCAGCAGTTAGAACTGCGAGCGGAAGTCAGGGTCGAGGTCCCTTGCCCCCTTGGGACTGAATTCCCTTTGAAAAGTCATTCTGTACCACCATGTGGGGTCTGCAAAGCTGACCTTCCTTCAAGGCTTCCTACACCTAACAGACATAAACCACGGTGGCCTAAGACATTACAGCTCAGCAAGAAGGAAGTTGGACCCTCATCTGACACCCTGTACAAAAACCAATCAAAGTGGATGAAAGGCTTAAACAGCAAAGCTAAAACTGTAAAACTACTAGAAGAAACAGAGGGGGAAAATGTCTTGACTTCGGTCTTGGTAATGACTCTTTGGACAAGACACCGAGAGCTCAGGCATCCAAACGGGAACAGGCAGGTGAGACGGCATCAAACTGAAAAACGTCAGCCCAGCAGAAGAAACTGAGTCCACACAGCGAACAGTCAACCTGCAGACGACAGGAAAAGCTTGCCAACAACGTACCTGGTAAGGGGTAATATCCGAAGTAGGTAAGGAACTCATACCACTCAATAGCAAAAAAGTAATCTGATTTAAAAGGACAAAGAACTTGATGAAACACTGCTCAGAGGAAGACATAAACACGGCCTGCAGGTATAAAATGAGGTGCTCAGACATCGCTCATCAAGAGGATGCAAATCAAAACCACGGTGAGACGTCACCTCACACCTGCAAGGATGACCGTTTTCAGAAAGACTGGCCGTAACAAGTGTCATCGAGGACGTGCCAGGGGAACCCTGTGTACTGCTGTTGGGGCTGTAACAAGTGAGGTCACGATGGAAACCAGGGCGGCGGCCCCTCCCACTATTTAAAGGAGGCCCACCGTGGGCCCCAGCCAGCCCACTGCCAGGTGGTTACCCAGCAGAACTGCGATCGGGCCCCAGAGAGCTACCTGCACTCCATGTCCAGTGCACCGTGACCCACAACAGTGAAATGTGGCGACGACCAAAATATCACTCGCAGATGAACGGATAAAGGAAAAGCAGTATAGACACACACGGTGGAATATTACTTGGCCTTAGAAAAGGAAATCTGCCATTTGCAACAACGTGGATGAACTTGGAAGACATGAAACTAAGTGAGAAAACCAGGGACAGACGAAGGCTGTGTGATCTCATCTCTACGTGGAGTTTGAAACGGTCGATCTCATGGAAGCGCGGAGTGGGACGCTGCTTGCCAGGGGCTGGGGAGGGGAGCGCAGTGACACTGGTCCAGGGGTGTGAGTTCCAGCCACGCACCACGGACGGGTGCTGCAGACCCAACGCGGAGCGGGCGGCCACATCCACAGTGCTTCCCTGAACGCTTGAAGTTTGCTAAAAGGTTAAAGCTTGAGTGTCTCTCACACACACACCCTAAAGAGACAATGCTTTCAGGTGAGGGCTGCGTTAGTGAGATTGATGTTGTGATCACTTTACAATGTGTAAATATCTCAAAAGGTCCGGTTGTACACCCTAAGTACACGCAATTTTTATTTGTCAGTTATACCTCCATGGAGCTATTTTTCTAACTGGCGGCTACTTGAAGTTGCCTATCCCTAATATCACCCTAAAATGCAACCAGTAAAAATACTAGTGGACAGAGGCTTGTTTTCCAAGTAATATGTTTAAAGGCAGTATCATTTACTAAGGTCAAATAAAAGGTGACCTTGGAGGATCAACTTTTGGTTTTACATTTGCAAGCTCACTGAACTGGGAGACACTAGGGAGCTGGAAGCGAGAGGCGGGGGCAGTAAAGTGTGGTCAGAGGCGAGTGCTGGGGAAGGGCTGGGTGCAGCGGAGCCGAGCACACGCCGGAGCGAGCTGCAAGGGGAACAGGGCCGAGCAGTTAACCACCAGGCCGATCTACCAACAGAGCACAGCCAAGCCAGGAGGAGCCCTGTGGGGGAGAAAGGACGGGCGCTGGTGTGGGGACGGGGAGTCCCACGATGACAGACACATTAAGAGTGGGCGACGCTGCTGCAGAAAGCCTTCTAGATGCTTCCATTGTCCCTGTTGGGGGATTCTTAGAGCAGTATATATGCGGAAGAACTTCTGGTGGAAACTGAGGGAAATCAGAGACCGAGATCACCACTCACTCCTTCCTTCCAGTGGCCCGAGGGAGAGAAAAGAGGGAATATCCAAGAGTGAGGTGTGACTGTCCCCACGTCCGTCCGGTGTCCTGGGAGATGGTGTGGCGGCGAAGGGGGCGGGGAAAAAATGCACAAGGACAAGTGACTCTTCCTTCAGCCACAGAGAAGGGGCCACGACTGTGTCGTAAACTGGAGGGAACCACATACGTATCGACAGTAAGAGTCTCCCAGGGAACTTGTGAGAGGAAACCGCCAGCACAGAACCACCCAGGTGAGGGCAAAATGAAGAGCTCCCCTTCCGGGACAGTAGCCTGTTAGTAGAAAACACCTCCCTTTGGGGAGATCGAGTCTGGGCTCCCCCTCACCCAGGCCTTCCGCTCCCCAAAGGGCAAACCTCCCTTGGAGAGGCCGGGGAACCCCCACAGGCCACAGAGCCCACAACTCTCGTCCACACATCAAGCCTGGAACCTATTCTACATCAGGACAAAGGTCCTGAGAAATGTGACCCCAGAACTTAATTCTTACGGCCAGAGAGGGGTGAGAAATCCAACATGTTCACTTGAACAGTCAGATATTACGCTTTTATCCAGACTGGATAATGCATTCCTGTATATTTTCATCTTCGGAACAGGTGGTTTGAGATGCAAATGAAGCACTAAGTGTCAGAGCGTTTCCTAGCAGTGGCTATTCTGCAAACGTTACCATGGCACCAATTCAACAGTGTTCTCAGAAGCGGCCACACCTCAGCAAGGTCTTTCTAACTCAGGGCAGCAAAGTTCAAGCAAAGCGACAGACGCCAACCGTGGAGAAGCCCTGCACCCACAGCAGGAGGTGACTCTGTGCGGTACAGCTGCCGTCTGAGGCTCCTGGAAACGGGGAACTTAGGGAGGGAGAAAAAGAACATGGACCGTCTCCGAGAGCACCTGCAGCGGGAGCCAAGCCTGGAGACGAGATGACGGTAATTGTAACTGCTAACATTTGTTTTTAGCTTCGAACAGATTGTGCGCAGATTGGGAAGGGCTAACTCCACTCTCTCCTTACTCCAGTGCCCACTGTGCTTTACCGGCACTCGCTAAACCGTCGCTGGGTGAAAAGAAAGCAGATTGCTCTCCCAGGGTTGCTGCTGCCCGGGGCTGCTCCCAGCCGGAGGAGGACGGAGCTGGGTCCTGCAGGTCTCCACCTCTCACTGCCAGTACACCCGCTCTTAGAGGGCAAGACGCATTCCCTCGGCACCAACCGAGCAGAAGGAAGGGGACTAGGTGACAGGGACGCAGGAGTCTGGGCCAACCCCGCCCGGGGCTAACCAGGGCGTGTCTCTGCCTGATTAGAGGACAAGGAAAGGACAGACACCACAAGTTAGCAGCGCAGGGCGGTCCGTGACCAGTGGCTAACTGACGAATGAACCACAAATTCCATCCGAGTTCCGAGGGGGCAGCAGCTCTTCCCCGTGTGGTCCATCCGAGGAGGGAGCTCAAACAACGGGCCGTAGGGAGAGCCACCGCTGGCTGGCACTGAACAGCCACCTGCGAGATGAGACTCCAGAGCTCCCTCCAGTGGGCATGAAGGCCAGTAGCCCTCAGATCCTCCTTAAAGACAACAATGATGCACCATCCGTGGCTAAAACAGCCACAGGAGAGGAAGAAGACAAAAGAAGGAGTGCATGGGAGAGCGGTTGGGAGTCTCCATTCCGCCCTTATCTCGAAAGAAGCAAAGAGCTCCTCTTCCCCAGATGGCAAACCTGGGACCGCTGTATAGGGTTAACTCCACCCCCCCCCCAACACCCCGCCAAAAAGGTAGAAAAGGGCCTCTCGGTCCTGCTTTCATAACATTTTGGCCAAACCAATCTGTAAATGTTCTGTGGGTGAACCGAAACTGTAATCTGAGCACAAACCTGGATGTCAGGGGTGGCACCCAAAGGTGGGCCACCGCCAGGGCTGGGCAGTCAGAAGAGAGTGAGGCTCTGGGCTGGGTTTCAGGGGGGTTGGTGTTCAGAGAGACCCAGTGCCGTGAGGAAGACTGAGCGGGCAGCGGGTGCCAGGAGAAACCCACGCTCAGGATGAAGCAGGAGATGGTGTCAGGCCCCAGGTCCTCGGTCCGTGGCGGCCGAGGGTTACCCAGAAAGAGCCCAGGGCCCCAGGAAACGCTGTGTGAGGTCTAGGGAGCCTCAGGGCAGGAATTCACGGCCCCAGGAAAATACAATGCCGCTTCGGAGGAGACTGGGGCCACCCCCTTCCTCTGGACTAGGCTGACAGGACAGAGGTTAGGAGAAATCCGGGATGTGATGGGTGTGCGACGCCCGGAGTCCCTGCAGAGATAACAGCCATCACGATAGTGGTGCCGCAAGTCAAGCCACATTCCATCTACAGCGGGACTGAGGTCCTGAAATACTTTCTGTCCGGGGCAGGGCCACGGAAGGAGCCGTGCGGGTTTCTGCCCGGAGACCAAACGCAGCAGCGGCAGCCGAGGTGCCCTGGGCTGAGGCGGCCGACAGTAGCTGATCACAGCGTTCCCGCACCAGAGGCTGGAGCAAACACCTCGGAAATTACAAGTGAGATTCTGAAAAGTGAAAAATGTCCTTTGCTGCAATGGTCCCTTTATCTCTTTCCGATTTTCTGCTTTATCTGTTTTGTTACCCAGACAGAATGTTCAATGTAAAAAATGAAATCATGGGTATTAGAAGAAAATATAGGGAATACTTAACTCCCCTTGGAGGGGAAAGTCCTTCCTCAAGGCATTAGTGAAAAAAACAAATCGTAAGGATAAATATCAGATGACATAAAAATGAAAAATGCAGTGCAATTAAAGTGCCACCAGCGCCACAAAAAGGCTCCGTACCCCCGGTAAGATGCGTGCGACAAGCGTGCAGCCGGGACTCCTGACACGGGGACAGTGCGTGTGAATCAGTAAGGAGACCCTCAGACAGGTGAAAGGTAAGGGATCAAATACACGTCACGGAGGAATAAGAACTACAGGCCAGTAAGCATGCGGACAGGTGTTCGGCCTCACTGGGAGCTGAAAGGGGACAGCTCAGACCCACAGAGATGCTCCAGTCCTCAAGGCGGCCAGGGGGGCTGTGGACCGCCGTGGGGGAGGGTGAGATGGAGCCGGTCCCCCTTCCCAGGAAGCGGTGTGAGAACGTCCGATCGAATTATGGGGCTTCTTGTGGTCCACATGAAGGACAAGAATCAGAGAGATGGACGATGTCTTTAAAGACACATTCGTCCAAGTGGTGTTCACAGTAACAAGACCCAAGAACCTGAGTGCTGTTGTTAGGTAATACAACACTAATTAGCCTTTACTGGTGTGGGGTTTTTGAAGAACTGCAATGCCATGGGAAAATGCTCACGACACATTACTAAGTAAAAAAGCGCAGTATAAACACGACCTTATTTACGTTACGCAAAACACACACACAGCAAAAACACCAGAGGGAACAGGCCTGTGCGTGGCAGTGGAAGTGTGAACTGACACAAATCGGCGTGAGTTGGCTTTTTCCTTTATGTGTATCATTAAAAATTCTTCAGGGAACATGTGCCTCTTGTATAGTAAAAAGTATTGTAAAATATTTTTGAACTACATGATAATGCCCTAGGGGTTGTTGCTTGGGAACAATGATGACTGAAGGAATATTTTTAAAAGAGAAAAAATTACTTAGAGACGTCAACTCTGGTTTTTAACATCCCAGAAACTGTCTGAAACATCCTGAAGAACTGTATTTGCTTTAAGGAGAGTAAAGTTTCCAAAACGCTCTCACAAGACCCACCCGCTGGAAATAAAACTCTCAGATGTGGAGGAATGAGCATCCACGCCCCAGAGAATGCTCACCTGGCACTGTGTTTTATTGTACTTTTTCCATTACCATTTATTGTACTTTCTCCATCACCCTCACACCCTCTCCCCCCTGCATCCCCACCCCACCCGACATCACCACGAACCCATCGCTCTGCGGCCTCAGAACCCGCGACGCGAGGAAGGTGTACTACGTACGCCTTTTTCCTCTTCCTCCTCCTCCTCCCCAGGAGTCTCAACAAAGACGAATCTGAGCTTTCTAAGCAATGGATATATATTATTATCTTTCAGACTCAAAGATGTTACCATGGTTATCACACTACCTGCTTTAAAGAAAAATATGACTCAGTAAAGTAATGCACTGTCTTCAGTTTCTCCCGCACTGGTTTTACATATAATTTCTCTTCCTCGTTTAGGATTGCGGCTCGAAGACAACGGAACGAGCCATGGAGCCGTTATTTGAGGAGTACCTAGCAAATCGCGGAACAATAGTAAAACCTTATTACTGGCTAAGCTTCTCTCTAGATTGCTCCAATTGTCCTTACCATATTCGGACAGGGGAGGAAGCGCGAGTTCCCTACACAGAGTTCTATCAGATTTTTGGATTCCCTTATGGGCCAACACATCCTCAAACCAAGCACCTCACGTTTTACGAGCTGAAAACTTCCAGCGGGAGCCTGGTGCAAAGGGGGCACGCCAGCAGTTGCACCGCGAACAACACTCACCCAGAATCAATGCTGTTTGAGACGCACGGGTACCTGGACGCGGCCATCAACAGCAACGACGGCATCAGGCACATCGTTCTGTACTCCAGCAGCTCCCCGTGCAACGAGGCTGACCACTGCTGTGTCAGCAAAATGTACAACTTCCTGACCGCGTATCCAGACGTCACTCTGAGTGTTTACTTCTCTCGGCTCTATCACACCGACACTGATTTTCCGGCCTCGGCGTGGAACCGTGAAGCTCTCCGGAGCCTGGCGAGTCTGTGGCCGAAGGTCACTCTGAGCCCAATCAGCGGTGGGATCTGGCACTTTCTCCTCGACAACTTTGTGAGCGGTGTTTTCGGATCCACTGTCTTCCAGCCCATTCTAACGGGGAGAGCGCTGGCTGACAGGCACAATGCGTATGAAATCGGCGCCATAACAGGGGTGAAACCTTATTTCACCGATGTTCTTTCCCAGGCAAGAGAGGACCAGAACGTGACCGCTCAGGCGGCTGCAGAGAACTACATCTTCCCCAGTGTCTTTCCTGGACAGTCTCTTCCAGTGACAAGTGCACAGCCACAGCCCAGCCTGACACCAGACCTCAGGGTCCCCGTTGTCTTTGTGCTGGTGCCTTTCCGAGACCTACCCCCCCTCCATGCTGGTCACAACCCGTACAAGCCCAGGAACGTCGTCAGGCACTTGAACACGCCCCAGGTGCCATTCCGAGAAACCAAGGACCTCAGGAGGCCGGCCACCGCGACGTCAGTAGAGACAGCGGAACTCACAGAACAGTCTGCAAGCAATGAGGCAGACGGAAAGAAGAAGAAAAGCAAAGGGAAAATATAACATCGACATTCCGACACCATAAGACCAAACAAATTACCAGAGGACTTACACGGTAGCCAACAAAAATCTGGAAACTTTCTCTCCCAGGTGTGAGCCAAGGTGGCGATGAACTGATACACCCAAGGCAAAACCTGGATTATTCACCATCTCAACTGTCATAAAGCTACACTATTTTAGACCTCATCCAAAACGTTTCCATAAGCAACTTAATATCTTTCCTTTATTTTGAAAGTGGCAGGATCAAAGGGAGCCATTAGTACCTTGCCAATATTTTGGTGTGAAAAAGACAATGTCACCACTCTGGTCTGCTCATGTCATCTTTCCATTAAAAAGGCCTGTGGACTAAATGGCTTCCTAAATGGGTTTCAGCATAAAAATTTACTGTAAACTTGGAAAACAGCCTGAAGTTACTGGCATTGAGTGCTGTTTGCAAAAGCAAGTCAGTGATTTTCCATTAACTGTTCATTGTGGACAGAAGATTTTAGGCAGCCCATTTTTTCCTAAAGTGGTTCGAAATAGCTTCGTGTGGGGAAAAAGCTCTTCTGCTAATTGAGCAGATACAGCTACGAAAATCGATGTTTGAAATGCAGCCACCTGCTCGGCGTGATCTCTCCCAGCCCAGGCCTCTCCCGCCTGAGCGGACGGCGGTGGCAGCGAGCGTGGCACATGCGACTCTCCGGAGGCTCCTTCCGTCTCGTGGCGCCGGAGAGACCCAAGCCACTCTCACTGGCTCTCAAGTCTCCTCCCCTGCCTTCCTGTGGCCCTGGCTCATCCGCAACATTGTAAGTTCCTGTGGGTCCGGTACTGTCTCCTTTCCTTAGTTTCCCTTTAGGATCTAGCACAATATCTGGGCAAAATACGGGTGGCAAGGCTGTGAATCTACATCTCGAAACTACCAGTCACTGCTCCTCGCCATTCTTCTCCATTCTAGCCAGGTGGCCACGTAGCTGTCCTGCCGTGGACACATTTTTTGGTGGTTGTTAGCATCTGCTCTTCCTTCTTCTGAGATGGCCCCCAGTGCATACTGGTAATTAATTTGTTTTACTTCCTTTTTTCTGAGCACTTTTTTTTCCCACCAAGGCATACCTATACCTTCTCTTAAAGCCTTGTTCCAAACACACTTCCTAGAAAGTGCCCTTTGACTAACCCTCTGAGCCTGTACATTACACCACTTCATTTGTGTTTCATTCACACTTGCTGCCTCGCTTTCTTCTTAAAAGAAAAGAAAAATGTTTAAAGTGGAAATTTCTATTGATTACAAGTCAATAAAAATGTTAAAAGAAACTTCTATTGTTAACCTGAGACTTCTGTAAAATTATTGGAACTGTATTTTGGGTATACAGTGATTATTATTTAAAGAGGTACTTGTGAAGTTTATGAAATCACAAAATCACATCTACGATTTGGGATATACAAGTCAAAAGGAATCCAATGTGGCCAGTTGGGCATCTCTGATCACTGTAAGAGCAGATCCAGGTGGGTGACTTGGATAAGGTGTCAGCAGGTCTGGGAAGCTTGGGAGCCAGCGCTAAAGCTTCTTGCCAGACGGGTGGTGACACCCCAGCGGGGAGGACCCGCCTACCTTGTGGGCTCCTCAAAAGAAAAAAGTAGACGCAATTAGTTGCCATGAAACCTATCTCCAAAGTCGTCAAGAAGACCACAAAACCAATCTGGCTACAAAGGATCCAGATCGGACATAGGCTGAAATGTGTGATGAATTTGTATTTCAAATGTGACCCTGGATACCAATGGTATATAACAAAAGGAGAGGTGTTGCCAGAACCATAGAAAAGTGCTTCGGGCAGTTAAATTCTTGTACTGGGAACTTCACACTGGGACTAGGAAGAAGAGTGTTACTGACAGGTCATGACCCTAGGCCAATGCAGTCAAGGCTTAGACAGCAGACTAGGAGAGAGCAGAAAGGCAGATGGCCCCAGGTAAGTACCGCTGCCTGACCTGAAAGGCAAGGCACATGCAAGATCATCTTGAAGGTTCCTTTGAGCTCTATCTGCTTAAATCAGCACTCAGAGCAGTGGTTCCAGGGAGTGAGCTATTACAATCAACAACAGAATCTTCTGACTCACCTCACACAGGTTCTTGGTTGAGTCAGGCTGAGCCAGGGATCTAGGGAAGAGTAGAAGTTGGAATGCTCCACCTCGCTTCAGCAAACTGGAAGTGGTGATCTAGAAGAATTACCACTGTTGCCACGTGTATGGAAATTCCAGTAAAGAAAATATAAGCCAATAAATGAAAGCAGCTGGCGGGTTTGGCGATCTAAAAAAGGCAGGGAGGTATATCCCAAGAAACTGATGAGGGTGGGGGATGGGAACATCACCTTCATCAGTCTACCATGGTCCAGGTTTAGATTCTCAGCTTTGTGAGTTCAACGACTACTTAGTCAATACAGAGGGAGTGGGTTTATTGACCAGGAGCAGACCTGGGTTAACAGAGCTCCCAAGACTGGTGTGTAAAAGCAGAAAGCTGATGCAACTGACTTCCAGCGAGGCTCACAACTGGCTGTGCACCCAGATAGTCCAGTTGTCCAGCCGACCAGCAATGCCGTGTGGATAAAACACATGAGAAGCCAAACTAGAGTCAGAAGTGTCCTTTACGCGTTAGAGGAGCTCATTACGTGATTCAGGTGTTTAGTGCTAGCAGACTCTGCTTACCCAGGATGGACATCTGCCACTTGAAATTCAATGGCGTGATATACACAAGGGCACCTGTCCCCTGGACAGGGTTTAGGAGGCCCAAGGGTGTTTCATCAAGCTGTACTTCAGTTCTGCTGGCCTCTCTTTAAACTGTTGTCACAGTTTTTTTATTCCTTTTTGATTCGTAGTTTTATGACTCTTTTTTGATTCATAGTACATACAAACCAAAATGTTTAACTCACAAAATGAGACGTTATTCATCTTATTTCCAAGTAAGGAAAGCTACATGGTAACCTATACTAATTAGAAATAATATTACTACCTAACATTTACTGAGACCTACATGCCAAGTACTTTTCTAAGTACTTTTACTATAAAAGTACTGGTATTTCTAAGTACTTGTATTTCTAAGTACATGTATTAACTCACTTAATCCTCGCAATCATCCTATTAGGTAAGTATTTCAAATATGAACTGGATATCAGTGGTGGATATCAGTGGTATATTGGAAAGAGAGAAGCGTTGCCAGAACTATAGGAAAGAAAAGCATCCGAGCAGCTACATTTTTGCACTGGTCGGTTAAGACTGGGGCTAGGACGAAGAATGTAGGCGGGTCATGAGTCCAGGCCAATACGGCCACTCCTTAAATGAGAGGCTGTTAAGAAAGCATACAGATACATGGTCCCAGGCAAGCAGTCTCTGTTTACTCCTCTGAAAAACAAGGGGCATGAGCACATCCTCTTTAAGGTTCCTTTCAGCTCTGTTTGCGTGCATCGGAGCAGGAAGTCCACGAAGTGGACTGAAGCACAAGCTTCAGAATCTGACAGTCCTAATTCCGTATCCTCTGCTACTTGCCAGTGAGTATCATTGGCTGAGGTACCCAATCTCTCTGAGCCTTAACGTTCTCATCTGTGAAATGGGAACACTAATTCCCAAGCCGTAGAGCTACTCCAAGCATTAAATAATGTAAGTATAGTAAAGAGCTTATTAACCAAGTGTCTAACAAACAATAAACACTCATCAAGTGGTTGCTATTATTGAAAAAAATATTAATAGGATGATAGATAGTAGAAAAGGATAGGAATTGCGAAATCGCTAAAATTCTATCAAAACTATAAGTCTGAGATGAGTATTTTCTGTAACAAGTAAAAGTATATTTGTAGAATTTGCAACAATCAGGTTAGGAGGAGAAAAAATGTTGATTTTAATATTTTGCTTAATAGTCAATAGTGGCAATGAAAAAAGACATATGTCCATGGTAATGGAAGAAACTAAAATAATTGTAAGAGTATATATTTTTTTGCAACTTCTTGCCAATAAGTTGAAAATCTAGATGAAATGCATAATTCCCTAGGAAAATATAAATTCTAAAATTGATTCAAAAAGAGAAAGAAAACCAAGCAAATCAATAACTACAAAAGATAAGTAGGCCCAAAGATCTGCTTTTAAGAATATTAGCAAGCCTAGATATTTTGTAAGCACAGTCTATAATTTTCAAAGAAAAAATACCATGGCAACTTAGTATTATTCAAAATATTCCAGAGCATAGAGGTAAAAAAAGGTGGAGATCTTCTCAATTCATCTTACAAAGCTAGACTAACAATAATAGCAAAACCAGATAAAGACAGCACAAAGAAATAAAATTATGAACCAATCTGATTTATAGATTCTGAAATCATATAAACAAAATAAACACTAATCAATTCTAGCAAGCTATTCAAATACTAACCAAATAGAGTTTATTCTAGCAATGTGAGAATGGTTCAGTGCAGAAAAATTTATAAATATAATTCATTACATTCATAAATTAAAGAATAAAAAACTACATGATTTTTATCATTAGCTCCCCACAAAAAAGCATTTGATAATTTCAGCCATCATGCCTAGAGCTCATAAAGCAAGAGAAAACATAAGCTGGTCAAATACCAAAAACATTTCCATTAAAATAGAAACAAAGAAGAGAAGTATACTATCACCCAATTTTTAACAGTGTTTTGACAGCCTAGCTAATGCAACAAGACAAGAAAATTAAATGTGATATTAATATTGGAGAAATGTAAGTTATCATCTCAAAAATTATGTTTGTATACTCTGACAAGAAATGTAACCTTAAAACAACTGTTAGCATTAATAACAGACCCCAGAATGTAAAAGAATGTGGACTAAATACATGTTTAAATCCAAAGCTTCTGTTTATATTATCATAAACAGGTAAAAAATTATAGAAATATAGTCCCATTCACAAAAATGTTTAACACACAGGGTTTATTCTTTCATTCTTTCATTTAGCACTAAAATTTTTTCCCAAGAGTACAAATTTAAATTTTTAGTCTTTGAAGTACTAATACATAAAGAAATAAAGGTCTTATTGTAAAATAGTTGATCCTATTATTCTTCTTCAATGTGTGATCATAACATTATGTAAGGCTAAAATTAATCACAAAGAAAAACCCAAGTTTTGAAGGTGGTGGTTTCAACACAGTTCATTTGGATATTAAGTAAAAACATTTTACCATAATACAGTCTGTGGGTAACATGCTAACAACTCTCTTTCTATTGTAGTAATTACATTTCTAGAGAACAATAAAATTAAATCATCATGACCAGAACTGAAATGTATTTTATATTTATAACACATAATACTGAGCTCACTGCCATTTCAGAAAATAATCCTGCCCCAGTGCAAGACCCAAGGTCTCGGTTTGTGAAGTATTTAGTGACAGGTCTGGGGAGAAGCAGCACACTGGAAGTAGAGTACTTGGCCTAAAACACAGGAAAGGAAAAACCTATTACAGGGTAGCTTTATCAAAACCCTTTCTGACTAAAAGATCCCTTGCTCTTTGCATTCCCACAGAAGACAAGAAGCTACCCCATCATGCAGCATTAACCTCAAGAAAGTTCAAACCCAGTTGTACTTTAGTAGTGAATCAAATCAGGTTATTTGCACAATGAATCAAAAGTGTTAAAACCTTACGGATCCTTTATTTCAGGGATAAGCATTTCTTTGGAAAATTAAAACAGGGAGAATAATATTACCTCAAATGAATGGAGTACCATGGTTAACATTAGCTAGTCACATGGTCCCAGTAATCCTCCCAATCATCCTAGTTGTAACTTGCAAGAAAGTGGAATAATACGTATTTTCTAATTGAAACATAATTAAGGACAGGTCTCTTCATGTACAGAAATGTTTTATCGAATTTACTGGCATGACACTGGTTAACAGGATCTCATAGGTGTCAGTCAAGCACGTGTGTCTGCGGTACTAGATCTGCATGCTGCACTGGGCACCCACCACCTACAACCAAACCACCTCCCCTAACACTTCAGAGAGGTAATGAATGAGTTCATCAAAAAATACGCAGTCTCTACATGAGTCCAAAATTATTTTGGCAGGTTATTAGTTCATTAAATAGAAATGTTGAGTTACCTACTATGTACAAGGTACTTATGGTAAGACAATAATACTGCATTGGAAAATCATGTTTTGGGCATTATTACACCTCAAACGTAACGTGCATTGTGTGGCTGAGAATTAATTCCTTGTAGGTAACACACTGAACATACAGAGCAAAATTCTGAGCAATCAAAAGCAATTATACCCTTGAGCAGCTCAATTTTTTTAAAATTTCCCTCAGTATTCCCTGAAGTTGACTTCTACTCAGGGATCCTTTCTCAGTTCTGAAATGAGACAATAAAGGAATTCCCTCAGTAAGACCTAATACAAAAGAAGAGGAATGTAAGAGAAGGGATGAATTAGCTCTTGAATCCTTGTTTCCATTTGCTTTCAATAGTGCTTCTAATGTTCAATTTTCTCTTCAAAAGAAAATTTGATTTAGAAGAACAAAATGTACAATCCTCTGTAATATCCAAACAAGTATATTGTTTAGTTCTTACTAAAGTTAGCAAAAAAAACTGAAACAAAAAATATATTTTAAAATCTTTAGTCTAAGTTATATAATGCCATTCACCATAGTAATGATCTGATACTTTGGTATAAGAGTTTTTAAAATAAAGACTACCAACAGGTAGAAAATTTTCCTTTGCTGCCTTAAGATGGTCCTTGGAGAAGTTTTTACCAGCATGTTTATTCATAACTTAAATGTTAATTTAAAGAAATGTCCCCTGGCTGGCATAGCTCAGTGGATTGAGCGCGGGCTGCAAACCAAAGTGTCGCAGGTTCGATTCCCAGTCAGGGCACATGCCTGGGTTGCAGGCCACGGCCCCCAGCAACTGCACATTGATGTTTCTCTCTCTCTCTTTCCCCCTCCCTTCCCTCTCTAAAAATAAATAAATAAAATCTTTTAAAATTTTTTAAAAAAGAAATGTCACTTCATCACCTAAATGATACACCTTTTAGAAGGGTAACTTAATTAGGAAAAGAAAAATGCCATATTGCTTCTTTCTCCCAAGAAAACAAAGATGAATTCCTGAAGGTTCTCTCTCACTGTCTCTCTGTCTCTCTCTGTTTTTGCCTCTCATCTCTGTCTCTCTTTCTATATGTATCTATACATACATACATGTATGTATGTATGTATGCATATATGTCCCACAAATATTTGATTTTGAGATCTTTTTTCCCTCTTTTTACTGGTTCATTATTGTCAATGTGTTTCTCAAACTGTCATGCCTTTCCCACTGTATTCACTCACCAAGGAATAATTGAGTACCTGAATGGATTGAGTACCTTCCAGACCCAAAAGGAAGATACAAAAGAAATATAAGACAGCCTCGAACTCCAGAATCTTCCCTTCTCTTCCAGGGGACAAGGTAAAACACAATACAGCACGAAGTAATTCATATGATTAGTGCCAAAATCAATGTCCAGGTAGCATGCATTGCACATTTGTGTCGAATTTTAAAGCTTCAAAACACTACCTGTGTCTAGTGCTCAGAACAACCTTGTCGAGTACACATTATTAACCCCACTTTAGCAGTGAGGAACCTGAGATCCAGAATTGGAAGTGGCATGCCTCAGCCAAATAGACTGAGTGGAAGAGTCCAAACTCAAGCCAGGATTTACTGATTACAAGCCCAGTGCCGTCTTCAATAACAGCACAGGAAACCAAGAATGGGAATACTGAAGAGGGCAACCGCCGGCCTTCTGCTAGAGGTGGAATTAAACCAGACCTCATAGGATATCAGGAAAACATAAAGCCGTCTGAGTGTCCAGCCAAATGTCCAAGTTCATCTTATTCTGAAAATATTTTACTTCAGTGTTATACTCACAGCACAACTGCCATTTCTTTCGTTATAGTGCCTTTCCCTCTTCACTAAGAGCTATGCTCTCAGAAATGGGGATATCAAATAAAATAAAAAGCTGGCCTGGAGGGATCACATAAATCTTAAATCACAAATATCAATCTTAAGGGCCTGGTGTCCACTAATTCTCACACATTTTGCTTCCTCTCAGCAGCGGAGAACGTAACTCGCCCCTACTGTAGCTTCTCTGGCACTCTTGCCCCAAATAACCACTTGTTTAATATGTCAGCGACGACCCTACCCCAAATCCCACAGGATCACCCCAATTTTGTCCTCCGACCCGGCCTCTGCCCAGACACCTCCCCCTCCCTCCCGATGGATGTGATACCTAGTTCGGGCTCTGCAGGTGCCGTCGCGGTGCTGTCACACAGCACTGACAGATAAGATGCGACCTTTCGATTCTGTCCTTGGGGATCTCCCGCTGGCCGCGCTGTGTCGTTCCAACCCCTGGAAAGGGGCTCCCGGCTCGGGCACGCAGCCACGAGCAGAACGCCTTCCGAAGCAATGTCTCCGACAAGTGGAACGATGCTGGGCGCCCGGCAGTGCATCACTCCACCCCATACTCCTGCCAACTGCAGGGGACTTGGTCCGACAACCAGTCCATCCCACCTCACACGCAAGCCCGGCCCAGCCGGACCTTACGCAGGACCCCGATGACAGGTCGTTGGGAGCGGCAGTGAAAGCAAAAACCAAGGCCAACCGCCTCCAGTGTCCATCGCAACCAACCTAAGACCCCGGAGACTGGACCGCAGAGAAGCGTTTCTATGGAAACCCCCAGGGGTCACGTGGCTAAGCCGGACGACCAATTGCCTTTTACCGCGGCCGGCTACCGCGCTTTGTGCCCTCCCCTGCCCCGCCCCCGCCTCCTTTGCTCCGCCCCGCCCCTTTCCTGCAGAGAGTCTGCGCCTGCGCACTGCGTCCAGCGCGCTCCCCCGGGAGCGCTAGGGCGGCGTGGGAGGCTTGTACACTGCAAGCACCTCAGGAGGAAGGACTGTGGCCAGCGCGCAGGCCCAGAACCGCCCGAGCCGGGGCTGCCGGCGACGCCCCAGAGCGGAAGAGGGAAGTGAAGGCACCAAGCTTCGGGTTCCTGCCGGGCTGTGCTCGCTGAGCGAGAAGCAGCACCAAAAGGAGGCCTTTGCCGCCGCTCCGGATCGGGGATGTCGAAAAACACGGTGTCGTCGGCCCGGTTCCGGAAGGTGGACGTGGATGAGTACGACGAGAACAAGTTCGTGGACGAGGAAGATGGGGGCGACGGGCAGGCCGGGCCCGACGAGGGCGAGGTGGACTCCTGCCTGCGGCAATATCCTTGCATTCCCCTGCGTCCCCACCCTGCCAGACCTGGCCCTCCCCGCAGGACCCCGCGCCTGCAGGGTGTGAGGGGGCGGGCCCCTCCCGGGGGGCTGGCGCGGAGCTGCCTGCGGGGGGCCGGCGGCTTCAACCTGTGTCTTTGGGGTCCCCCGTTCCGAGGTGACAGGGCTGATTCTCACTGGGGCGCCCCGAGACCCCAGGGGCCCGCCCTCGGGTACCACCTCTGCCAGCGCACCTTCCACGCCCCGCGATTCCTCAGGTTGCGCCTGGAGTCCTGCCTCCCGGACACTGGCTCTGCCGGCCGCGCCCCGGCGGCGCTGGGAAGGCACCTGGGCTGATCGGGACTGATGCGGGCGCTGAAGTTTTCGTCCCTGAACGCTGTTTACTGGGGGCACATCAGCTCCAGGAATTTCTGTCGGGCAGGAATGGGCATCTTTCTTTAGTGAGTGTGTGTTTGTTGTGATGGTTTTGTTTTGGTAGCCTTAGGACAGTTTGTTCTTTGCCAGGAGAGATGGGGTGGTTTGCTGAGTGAGGCTCTATCCTTTCAGCCTGGGGCTTTTTAAGGTGTTTGACTTGCAGTTGGACAGAATTTGTTAACCAGGGAAAGGGCGTGAGTACAAAACTGCCCAAACTCCGAGAAGGAAGCTTGTGGGCTTTACCTGCTGAGCTAGGGAGGCTAGAAAGAAGACAGTGCAAGTGGAGAGTCCCTGGAAATAGTTCAATAAACCCCAAAGAATAAGATAGAAAAAGATTAGCCATTTGTACGAAGCAGAACCATTTTTATAAGTCTGAAATCATTACCATTTTAGTTAAAATGTGACTGCCAGTTCCTGGGTTTTGTTTTTGCATACTTGAATATTCATAACTGAACATTAGCATGAGATCTTTTTTAGAAAAATGTAAATGTTGCAATAAGCAAAGCTGTAGTTTTAGATTCTCAATTACTGAATCCACTCATTTCTAATTATTCTTGAGTGTATTCGTAAGGAAGGCTTTGTAGACTCTCCTCATCAATGTCCTATTAAATTATAATGAGGAAATAGATGAGTGACAATATTTGGTAGGAGCTATATTTGGTCTTAAAGGCACCTAAAATACACCCTTAAACATTTACCAACATACAGATGTTTCTTTGATTCCCACAACTTTCATAATCTGCTGTTGCTATTTTGAATTATTTAACTACTTCAATGTTTGAGGTCTTAAAAACGAGCCAGTGTACAAAAGCCCTGCTTCTCTAGAAGTTTATTAAACCCTGAAAATAACAGCTTACCACCAGCCATAGGGGGTTTTTTTGCTTCAGGAAGTAAGTGCTGAACATTATTCTTGTCCAAAAACACTCTTTGTGATGGAGGAATGATGTTCGTGAAGCTAACTTATTCTAGATGATACGAGACGGCTCTCCGGTGGTGCTGCTGGACCCACAGAGTGGGTCTGCTTGCACAGATACTGTCTCTTCGACTCTGGTGACGAGCAGGAAAGACAAACGCTAGCCAGGCCCTACAGATGGAGGAACAAGCGAGCTTTGTGTGGTTTTCCTTTTAGGGGAATGGCTGTACATTCTGACAGTCTGATTGGCCTTCCGTGTTTCATACATGCCAAGCCGCTGGTGCTTTCAAAGGGAAACTAAATTGAGTAGGTATGGCCTAAGATGGTTTGAATAATCTTTATGAAGTACAAGAAAAAATATCCAAAACAGAAAGTTAAGTTGTCCCCTAAGAGTCATAGAGTTACATGTTTTATAATGCCTCTTTTCATCAGTATTGAGAGGTTACTAATGTACTGTGCATCATTCAGATTAGTAAGCTACTAGCATTTCAATTCATATAGAATATAATTGTAGCAAAAATTTGATCTTTTATTTTTCCAGTTAGAAGCACATAAAAAAACATGCTTTGGTTGAGGGTAGGCTCTTTCATTTTGGGTCCTAAAAATTCTGATACATATTTTAGAAGGGTTTTTTTGTAATAAATATCCATTAATAATGTTTCCATATGTGTCTTACTAGAAAATGAGATGTTAGCAAGGTGTTCATTTGATCATTAGAACCAAGGAGGGAAATGGTCTTTATTCTTAAAAAAAATAATAATAGAATGTTCTTTTTTGTGTTTAGTATTTTATCTTTGGTTGACATACTGGAAACCAACATGTTGAATTTTCCAATACTGAACATAGTGACCACAGTGACGTTTCTTTCTGTGCATAAAGTCAAGTCTTAGGAATCAGTGGTTCCCGGTAGTTACAGTGCTTTCCCGAGGGCTGCCCTTTGCTGCTTCCCCCTTAACCTCCATCACAGGAAACATGACCGCCGCCCTACAGGCAGCGCTGAAAAACCCCCCCATCAACACAAAGAGTCAGGCGGTGAAGGTGAGTCCCAGACAACAACCAGTCTCCATTGATATCATAGCGTTCTCACCCAAACCCTCTGTGGTGCTACCTGGCCGGCAAGTATTTGAACTGTTTGCTTTCCTATCAGTGTTTTTTTTTTAACAGGGAATTTTATAACCTGCTTTTTCAATTGTAGAGCAGTGTACATGAACATCTTTCCTTGGCCAAAAGTTCATTTCTATAACATCTTTCTTTAATGGCTGCATATAGATACACTGCAGTTCATGTATAAACTAATCTCCTTTTGTCATAAACAGCACTGAAATGAACAATTTTTGGTAAATTACTCATTTCCTTTGCATAAATCCCTAGAAGTGAACCACTGGATTTTAGAATGCACATTTTTAAGGCTTTTGATACAAGTGGTATTGCCAAATTGCCCTTCTGAAAAGCTGTGTGAGTTACCTTCCCTGGAACAGCTTTTCACTGATTCCAAAGAACCTATTTACTTCGGCATTTTCTTGTTTCAGAAGCAGCCTAGAGCACTGGCCCCACTCCCCATGGCTATCCATACACCCTGGGAGCCCCAGGATCTCCTTAGCTGAATAGTAGTAATGACTGGGTTAAGTGCACAATAATTATCTAGGCTCTATAATTTATAAGAGGAAAAATTTCTTGGTTTTTAAAAGTCGTGAGAACCATCGTTAACATTTTCATTGTACCACCTTCTGCTTTTGTATGAGTGGTTTTTAATCACAGGGTTGAGGGGCGCGGTTTAGCTCTGGAGTGGGGGATACCTTCTCAATTGGTCATGCACAGTCTTCAGACTGAAGGTGACGGTAGTAGGTAGAAACACTCTGTAAAGTCCTGGCCAGTATTTATGCTGGAAGTATTACTTTCTCTTGAGTAGAAGGGGAAATGAATTATTGAAAGGGTAAATTTAGTGTTCTCTTTGCTTGGCTTAATGAGTAAAAAATAACTTTACTGTTAGAATAGTGTTTTATCAAAAAAAAAGATCATTATAAATGAAGGTCACTATATCTTAACATCCCATTGTCTCTTGACTATAGACATGAAACTTTAAGTTTTATTAAGTTATTTCAGAAGGATAGTTCAAAGAACAGTTTTCAAAATCTGGATTTAATCAATTGGTAAATGATCACATCTGTCTGTAAGCAAATCCTTTCAGCTCTACCTTCAAATATGTCGAGGACCTGTCCACTTTTGTCCACCTCCTCTGCTACCGTGGTAGTCAGATCCAGCCTGTGGCACTGCAGTAACTTCCTAACTGGTCTCCCTGCTTCTGCCTTGTCCCCGGCACCACCGCCCCCCAGCCCCGCTGATCCTCGACACGCAGCCACGTGACCCTGCGCAGGTGTAAAGCAGGTTATGTCACTGTTCTTGTCAAATCTTCCAACGCCATAAGGCCGAAGTCCCCGCAGCAGCCTGCGGGGCTCCCACGCTCCCACAGCCTGTCTCCCCACTGCCGCTCCCACTGTCTCTCCGGCTCTTCCCCCAGAACTGTGCGCCAGCCACCTCGGGCCTGTGTGCCCGCTCTTGAACACACAAACAGCCCTTGCTCCTTCCTCTCTCTGAAGGACTTTCCTCGGCATCCCCAAGGTCTCCTGTTTCGTGTCCTTTGGGTCTTTACTCCTCCTCAGTGTGGCCTTTGCAAAACTCGAACCCCGCCCCCCCCCCCCCCCATCTCAATGTTCTGTCATTGGTTCACCCTCAGGACCGGGCAGGCAGCATCGTGCTGAAGGTGCTCATCTCCTTTAAAGCCAACGACATTGAGAAGGCAGTGCAGTCCTTGGACAAGAACGGCGTGGACCTCCTGATGAAGTACATCTACAAGGGCTTCGAGAGCCCCTCTGACAACAGCAGCGCCGTGCTGCTGCAGTGGCACGAAAAGGTGAGCTGTGGGCTGCAGGTCTGTGCAACCGGCCCTTTGCAGTCGAGCAGTACAAAGATGACGCCTCTTACGTAACCATTTTGACTGCTCGGTTAACATCTTTGTTATTACAAATAAATGCATGAAAATGAAAGTTGCAGTTATGCTTACTAGCCTTGGTCTTGAGATTGTGATTGGCAGCATTTTAATTTAATGATTATGGTTTAGTGAATATAATCTTGAATTTGGAACTAAATCAAATCTTTGAAAAGAAAAGAAATAATAGAGGTCAAGAATTCATTAACAGTGACCGAGGGTAAAAACAGCCCAAGCACCCAGAGATAGATGAGCAGATAAGCAAAATGTACATACATACAGTGGAACAAAATAGAAATTGTTTCATCTGAAAAAGGAAGTTCCGATATATGCTACCGCATGAATGAATCTGAAAACATTATGCAAAATGAAATAAGCCAGATACAATGAGACAAGTACTGTGTGATCCCCCTTGTGTGGAATATTTAGGATAGGCCAATTCATAAAGACAGAGTGTAGGTCAGAGGTTACCAGGGGGAGGGGAGAGAGAGAATAGTTAATAGCACCGAGTTTCTGTTTGGGTGACTGGAAACAGGTAGCAGTGATGTCCGTACCATATTGTGAATATAATTAGTGCCACTGAATTTTAAGAATGAACATGTACGAATGGTTAAAAGTGGCATGCTTTGTGTTATAGGTATATTTTCTAACATCTTACAATTCCCAAAACTCAGTTTTTCGGAAGCTGTTGTCTGTGTGTCTGAGTGAAAATACACGCGTGTAAGATAAACACACTGTTTAGCCTCGGCCAGGCCACTTTCTCCCTCACACACTATCAAACAAAAGCGCCAGTATTTATGGGTAGGGCAACCCACACTCCCATTTCCCCGAGTTTAGACCTAGTTGTTTCGGCGTCATTGCGAACAGTTCCCTGTGGCCCTGTGCACCCGTGTGCAGGATGATTTCTGTGGCCATCCTGCTCGTGGAACACTCTCCGTTTGCGGGGCCCTGCGCTATTGTGTTTCAGTTAATCCGCACAGCAGCTCTCCGAGGTGTGTAAACCTCCTCATCCTCCTCAGTTTACAGAAGGAGAGCCAGCGTTAGAACCTACGTGACCTAGTTCCCACCTGGCCTCAGGATCCCGGCCAACACCGGGAGGGGGAGCTGATGCTGTTCCTGATGGTGGGTGGGGAGATCGAGGCACAGGTCTGCTCTTCATTTCTTTCTAACGTCAGCCACCAGTTCTTCGCCAGTCTTACCTCCTAAGTGCTTCTCAGTTGTCCCCCCAGATCCATCTTCAGTGCAATGGAGGGGGGCAGCATCTTTCCTGGTCTGTGTGTCACTTCCCAGACTGGCCCCCCAGCTACCGGTCTCACCTCGCTCAGGTCCGTTCTCTGCCCAGTCACCACAATGCCCCTGAGAACCCAGGGCCACCCCTGGGCTGAATCACCGGAAGAATAAAGTCCAGCCCCGCAAGTCCAGCCTCACGTTCCGTGTCATTCTCCTCCTGCTCCAGCCAGCCCTGCCTTTTCCCGGAACGCACCGCACTGCTTTGCACTGCTGCACCTTGCTCTTCTCTCCGCCCATGTGCCTCCTTACCCTGTATGTCAGTCTGTCACCTGCTCACCCACTTAATGTATCCTTTTCTCCAGGCAGCCTTACCTGACCATTCCACCTTTCTCTCTACCCTCAAGCTAGGTATGTGCCTTCCTTGGTGCTTTTATAGCCCCCAAAGCATAGCTCTGTCACTTCATACGGTGTGGTGTGGTATGGGGTGGTGTGGTATACTTTAGTGATGTGTGTGTGTATGTATGTATGTATGTGTGTGTGTGCATCTTCCCAGTAGACCAGACGGTGCTGTACATACTTTTGCACCCCCGGCATCTAGCACAGTACCCAGTGCACAAAGGTATTCAGTAGGTGTTCTTTGAACACAAGGTAACTATAGCTTCAAATTTCTACTTAATCATGACTTCCAGTTTTTCACAGTAAAGTGAAAGTTCTGAAGGTCTTAGCTATTCAATAATAACGTTTAGCTTGGGAGAAAAAAATCAGACAGAGACTGGCTGACTCAATAGGACTCAGGTTGGTTTTTCCCAGTTTGGCTTCCTCCTGACTGCTGAGAGTAAGAGCAGAATCCGCGCCCTACATGTGTGTGTGACCCCTGATTAAGGCCAGAGCATTACGCCCTGGACCTTTGAGAACAGCATGCTGTATGGTATTAGTGTCTCACCGGGAGGTAAGCGCACGGGTCAGGAGCTCCAAAGGTTTCGTTTATCGCTCTCCCCCAGTGCCAGGCACAGCGCCTGGTGCATAAGAGGTGCTTGGGAACTATTTATGAAAAATACTGAGTTCAAAAACCAGTAACTGAGCACAACCCTTTTTAAGAAAAATGTTTTCATTGGTATGAGAATTGGTTCTTTGCAATCCCGTCAACATCTGCCTTTGGTCTGCTTCCAGGCGCTCGCCGCGGGAGGAGTGGGGTCCATCGTCCGCGTGCTGACCGCCAGGAAAACCGTGTAGTCCAGCGGGAACTGGATCGCTCCTGCGGGTGTGGGAGTTGCTGGTACAAAGACCAAAACAACCAAATGCCACCGCGGCCCTGTGGGCAGCATCTGTCTCTCTCAGCTTTGCCTTCTCGCTTCCTCTCTCATGTCTATAAAGAAGAAAATTCCATGTCCGTTTTCCTTCCATGAAACTCGGGATGCTCTAGAGGGAATTTTTCAGCAGGAGTGCCTCATGCTCTCCAAGCTCTTTCAGTGATATGTATACCAGTGTGTATAGAGCCTAATCCACATTCAACTTTAATTGTGCAATTTTTAACCCCTGTTGGCTGGTGGTTTCTTGTTTTTCTGTTTTTTTGTGTGTGTTTTGGTTTTGTTTTTGACTAATAGTGATCAATTTGATGAGAATTTGATGCCAATTTCCTAACTCATGGCTAGCCAGGAAATGATTCTTATGAAAAATATGTTCGAGAGACTGGCAGTTCTTAACATTGCAAAACTGGACCTTACTTCCCTTATTTAAGCAAAATGTGTCTCTGGAACCAGTGGCAGGCGAAGGCCACTACCAGGCTCCCGCGGTGTCCCCGCCTGCCTCCAGTTTAAGTCTGCTGCTTCCTCTCGGCATCCAACGATCATGGCCTCTCGATTCCTTTGTGGTCACCAGGGTCCAGAGCAAGGGGTCTTGCTCTACACAAATGTGTCTATTAAATACCAGAGCCTGTTGGGTGTGAGCATAAAACTTTTGTCCCGATAGCATGGCCCTGTCTGGGAAGGCTACTCCACGTCAGAAAGGACATGGACACTGTGATGCAGCTCAAACTCTGGGCGGCCTCTGAATGAAACGCTCTTTTCCTTAGAATTCAAGTGGCTGCCTTAGACGTTAGGAGGTGTCTCACATGCCCTGTAAATGTCTTCAGTGTCCTTTGGGGTCATTGGGATCTCAAAAGATTTGGCTCAGACCCAAACACACATCCTGTATTTTCGCTCAGTGTTTTTTAAGAGAAGAAAATGCCACACAGCAAAAAGTGTTTACTTTGTTGTGGACCAACCAAATCGGTTCTCAGAAAAACGACCGGTGCTTACAGAGTCGTTCTCCAGTAGCTCCAAAACAGACGCCCGAGCGCGCGCGACCGTGCGACCGGGAGGGAACCCAGCCTGTGTTTAGCGTCTACATGGACCACCAGTTTCACAATCACCGGCTCACTCGAAAACTGGTGCGGAAATCCTATAAACTCTTGGCTGTTTTTGATACCTGCCTTTTGTTTTGTAAAAGTGATAAAGTTCCAAAAATAAAATGTCAGTGTTGAATAATTTATTTTTCTAGCCCTTACTTTAGTGCTCGTTGAACATGTAGTTATCGAAGAGGAAAGATTTCCTCTTTCGCCACCAGGTTACTGCACTCTCTGACGAGAGCTAGTCCAGTGCGGCCAGCGTCTAAAACCACCTTATTCAACCCTCAGAGGGTAGAGAAGCGGGGAGGCTCAGGAGTGACGCCGGAGCCCTTTGGAGCGATACCATCGCGCCCCCTGGTGCCAGGTGACAGGACACCCCCACTGTCACTGCCCAGAGACCTAGACCAGGATGCGCAGAGTAGCCCAGCAGACACTGCCACCTCACTTCCAGCTTCTACACTCGTCCTGACACCGCTGATCTGCTTTCCTCCCCGGCTCGCAGCCGCCCCTCTGCTTTCCCTCGGCGCCTGACTCCTGCCTTCAAGCTTTGGAACCCCACAGGCGGCTTGGAGGGCGCCAAGTGAAGACTCACTAAGCAGTAGGTGTTAGAGGTCGTCACGGCACCACTGCTCACAAACTGTAAAATGAAAACAAAGTGATACTGCGATACTTTTTCGGGAGATCCTCCTTAACAACACTTTCGAGACTGGTGTTGGGGAAAATTCTGGAGTTTTACATTTTATAGTCGCAAAAAATGGGTGTACTCAAAATCTGCTGGTCAGCTTGACTCAAGGGAGGTAGTAAAAACAGTTAGCAATTAGCACCGCGGGGGACTGAATCCGAGTGGGTGACAGCTGGAGCCGGCTGGTTGGGGGCTGCACCCTGTCTGGTGTCTGCCCGGGTTACACCGGCCGTGACACAAGTCTGTCCTGGCGGAAAGGGGTGGGGGGACAGTCAGGATGGATTGTGGGGAAAAAGATACAAATGCCAAAGAGCTCCTTCAGCCCAAAAGTGGTTCTCTACCTGCCATTCCCTCTACTTGGATCTCTGGTTTAATTGATGCATTTCAGTCACCTGTGTGTGTGTGTGTGTGTGTGTGTGTGTGTGTTGCCACTCTTCAAAGGGGGGACAGGGCACATACGCCCATTGTGGGGCGTTAGGTAACAGCACCATTTCGCTAACAGTCCTACTTGATAGGAAGTGTGATGGCGTCTTAAGGAAACCCAGTAACACACGAGTGAAAGCAAGTCTGCAGATGGTGCGAATTAGCGAAACATTTCTTTTCCAAGCCCTCTCTGTATTCCCGGGCATTGCGGCGCACGCACACAGTGGGCGAGCCACATCTGTTTGCTCACGAGTTGCTCTCAGCCTGAGTGAGAAGGGAGAGGAAAGCCACACACTTCGGTAGGTGACGGCAAGTGCAGGTGGCGTGGGGGGCCGTGGAGTCAGGGTGGGCGGGAGCGAAGTGACACGGGGCGGCCTGCCCTGGGCCTGGCGGGGCGGGCGCGCAGGCGCAGCAGACGTGGGCGGAGCAGAGGGAAGAGCAAGTCCAAGCACATCGAGCTGTTCCTATGGCTTTAATGGTTTTAACATGAAGGTCAGGACAGTGCAAGTTACTGAGGAGACCACTAGGCTTTGATAAGGTGTGGGAGGGTCGAGAAAGTCATGGGATTATAGAAAGTGATATTCTTTAGCCAAAACCGACAATGGTCACTTCGTCTCACCCTTTTAAAGTAGTAAAAGGATGGGAACTTCATTTTGTAAGAAGGAAAGCATCTTATGTTTAGTAATCAAGAGCCTCACTTATGAAAAGTGGGTATGATTTATCCTTTAAGTGTTTTTGATAATTTATTAAAATGGCAATTATGTTTAGAGTGTATTTAAAAAGCAGTTTGTTAACACTGAAACATCAGTAGCCCTGCCGCATGGCCCAGAGTCACAGATCTGTGAAATATAACACCAACAGCAGGAAACCAAAGGCAGCTCCCCAGCACATGGTCATTATAATACGGCTTTTCACTTCCCAAGCAAGATTCTGAGAGCAAGTAGGTGGATCAAAACACAAACGCCACCCTTCTCCCTTCTCGGGTGCCGTGTCAGCCCCACGGTGTGTTTTACCTTCAGACCGGAAGCTCAGGGCATACACATCAGATCATGCCATTCGCAGGTCTCAGAACCAGAATTTCATCTCACGTCTGCCTGGCGCCAAGGCTGTATCACGCTTCCTTCTCAAGTTCAGTGCTTGGGGGAGAGAGATGTTTCCGAGACAAATGAGGAGTGGGGCTTTCTCTAGAAGCCTCCAACTTTAATGTTTGCAAAGTACTATTGAGAGGTAAAAGCCACTCAGGAGCCCTTCAGAGCGGCAACAGTTGACAGGTGTGGAGGTCGGAAGAGATTTGGAGAGACGCTTATGACAACGAGAGGCATGCTCAGCATAGTGGTTTTTTCAACGATGACTTTTGCTTGCCTTTTGATGATCTTTAAAGTGGTGAGGTTAGAGGTCAATTCCTGTTAACATTCACAACTCCACTGGAACGGAGAAAAGTGACCGAGGGTGGTTTCTCTCGTATCTGGCTCTGTATACAATATTTTCAGTAGGGTCCCTGTTTTCCATTTTTTCATAGATGACATATTTTAGCTCAAACTTCTGTTTTAATTAGTTTCATCACAATTCCATTTAGCAAGAACCAGCACTGCCATCTCCCATTTCATTAGCCGAGGTGGATAGATTTTTGGCCACAACTAAAAACAACTTGCTCAATTAATCCCCAAGCATCACTTTGGCCTCTTTCAATATCAAGGTCGGGGGCTCCATTTCAGAGGCACCTCAGATTGGAAGCTTGCATCTCTGTCCATCCTTCTGGAGTGCCCTCGAGTGCCAGTTGCAGAGCCAGTTTTTGCAGGAGAAATCCTGAGAAGTGCAGGATCCCCGAGATAAACCCAGGCTTGAAGAAATCGGGTTCAAAACTGTAGACCCATGGAGATGAGGACCCAACGCGCCGTCCACCAGGCACCGACCCGACAGCACGTACTCGTGTTCTCTGTACGGGGCAGCACCGTGCGTCAGCTGCCTGTGGTTGGTGTGTGTGGGTTTGCGTAGGTTCTAACCTGCTGTTGTCCACCTCTACCCTCTCCGCATCTTATTTTGATTTGCCTTGCATCCTTCCCTTTCTGTAGTTCATTTCTCCTCCAATTTCTTTTTCTCTCTCATCTGTCCCTGCATCTGCTACCTGACTGTCTTTGTTTTCTCTCTACTCCTCCAGCCGAGGCACTCAGAGGCACTCCTACTAATTAAATATGCAGGTGGTGCCCTGGCTGGCGGGGCTCAATGGATTGAGCGCTGGCCTGAGAACCAAAAGGTCACTGGTTTGATTCCCAGTCAGGGCACATGCCTGGGTTGCGGGCCAGGTCCCCAACAAGGGATCCTGAAAGACAACCGCACACTGATGTTTCTCTCCCTCTCTTTCTCCCTCCCTTCCCCTCTCCAAAATAAATAAACAAAATAAAATAAATAAGTAACTATGCTGGCGGTGTTCAGGCAGGTTCTTTTAGGTAACACCCTCCCAACAAGAACCTCCCACGGACTCAAAATGCCTGAATGGCTTATTTCTAAACTGAGAAAATGCTTTTATTTTCATAGACTTGCTTTGGCTAGCAATTGAGCAAATAACCTAAAATCTAAGCCTAATTTTTACATACATAATTTTTCCTTTAGATTTACAAGTCATTTCACCTTACTGACAGAAAGTGCTATACAGCGCCAAAAGTGATTCGGGAAGGGGATGACGGGCTCCATAAAAAACAAATTTAATGGGTTTCAAAGAGTTTAGAAAGGGGTGCTCTAAAACAAGGCTCCTTCTGTTCATAGTCCTGCAGGGGTCTTTCCCCACCCGCTCTGCCCCTCAGCCCAACGCGGCTAATGTTGGAATAATAGAGAACACAGGGAAACCCCAGGGCGGAACCGTTCTGCGTACTAAACTGCAGGTGCCCTTCGCACTCATCGGGGTACAGAAGCCAGGGGCGCACAGAAGCGCAGCGTGTCAGCCACCTCAAGGTGGCGCTACTTCCCCACGGGGACCAGCCGACCGCATCCCCGGGACTCTGTTCCCGCTTACATTTCTGCTGTCCCGCACCATTTGTGTTACTTGGATGTTTAAAAATTATACACGTAAATTGTCCTCGTTTCCACCTCTTACGTCTCTATGTAACAGTTCCCTAAAGCCATATAACACAAACTGACTAGTACGCGACGCCTGAATTTCACAGTCCAGCGCGCCAAGACTCCCGTATTTCTCAGCTGGCATTGAGCTCACACTCTCTAGGACACACCCTCTCGGCCCCTCCTCCGCTAGACCGTACGGCCTTCCTGAGGTCGCAGTCGTGTGTCGTACTCATCATCCTCCACAGTCCCTTGAACAGTTGATGCATGACAATGACTGAGCCGAGTCACCCACTGGACGCTCTTTTTTGCCCATTTGACCGTCTTTTTCTTACAGTTTTATAGAAGCTTCTTTTATCACAAGGATGTTAAGTCTTTTGAGCGTAATAAAAATGTCAAATATTTTCTCACACTTTGTCTTTTAACTTTATGATAGTTTTCACCACTTATAAAGTTATTTTATTTTATAGAATTGAGTTTATTAATCTTTTTACAGCGTTTAAGGTTCAAGTCATGACTGATTTGTCCTCATGCAGAAATCCCACACAGCTCCTAACTGACCTTTCTCAGGACTCGAGGGTATTTCTCTTAAGCTATATAGCCCAAACTACCCACAATGTTTTATATGTTAAGGTACAATTTCACCATCATTCAATGTAGACATTCAATCAAATGTCCACATGCCAGGGGCTACTTAGAGTGTGTAAGATACGATTCTTATCTTTCAGGACCCGGATTCTAAGGAACAGATACACAAGCAACTACTGCTGTTCTGTGGAGAACAAGTCATAATAGAGGAAGGAACAGTCAGACTCTCACATGGGCAGTAATTACCTCTCCAAGGCTGAATGTTAAGGAAAAGCTGCAAAACCCACCTCACTGGGTTTTGAAGCCTACATAGGAGTTTGTCAGGTAAAGAAATAGCACGATACCAGAAATTACACAGTTAGTCAGCATTCCGGAGTCCTGTTCATTACTGGTATT